TTTTGCTTCCATTCTCTCTTGGTTTCTAGAGATATAATTCTCTAGTGAGGTGGGGGTGTTTATGTTTATTTCCTAAGTGTTTGTTGTGTGCTTTGAAGTTAGTATACATTGTATGCTTGTTATATAAATTCTAGGGTTGTATATAGATGAATCTTGTATATAACTAACCTAGGGTTTCATTTAATTCAAGGCTTATATGTGATCTACTTATTGTGTTGTTGTTACTTCATTTGATATAGAATTAAATTATAGTATTATTTTGTTGTTGTAATTATAAAATTCTAGAATTATTCTTATTATTGATTATGTTGTGATATTATACTATATTGTTGTCTAAATTAGGGATTTAAACTTATTATGTTAGCATGAATGAGTTTCCTATGTTGACAACCTTGTAGTAGTATAGTTGTATTCACATTGAGAACTTGACATTGCAAATGCTATTGTAGGTTGAAGATTTAGGGCATGGTTGTGTGTGTATTTCGAATATTGGATGTGCATGGAAGGTGGTTAAATGTATTATATAACTATGTAGTTGTTGTGACACTATTGTTGATTTTGGAATTACTTGGGGCATTGATACATTGATTTGGCTAGGGTTAGGCTCTAGTGCAGGAGGTACGAGTTCTCCCCAATAGAGTGCACAATTAGGTGGTTCCTTGTGGGTTAGAAGTCTGAAACAACTAATTGTCTTGCGTTGTGAAGTTCATAACTGGATGTCGCTTCCAAGTTTTCCCTATTGTTTGATTTCGCGTTCATTTTACAAGTTGACATTACTTTGAAGTTGTAACTTGTTGTATTTCATTGGAGATTCCAATATTGTTATGTATTTTACCTATTGTGGATTACTTTCAAAATGTTTCAAATATAGCTTAGGATGATCACTTAGCTTCCCCTTTGAAACTAGACGTTAGAAGGCATGATCCACATGTATTTGATTTATATTACACTTACAAAAACCATTGAAACTTTAGGGTATATGCATACACATCATCCTACGGAGTAACTCGATTATGCACCCTAGTTGATATTTGTTTTTCAGGTAAAGAGACACTCTTTTTGGATGCACAACATCCCTAGCTTGGCTTGTGTTTCAATTGGACATCTTTTGTATATTTTGACATGCAAGTGTTAACATGATATAGTTATCTTTTGAGGTTAACAATGTGTAATGTATTTAGAAGCATGTCTTGCTTTCTTTTGAATGTGTAATATGCACTTAAGTACTCTATTTTGATGCTACTTTAACTTGTATGTAATGAGGCCAAGGGCCAAACACTTTTTATGTATGGAATGTATGTCATTTTACAACATGTTTTTATCTCTTTGACATAGTATAATCTTGGGGGCATTTAGGTCATTTTACGTTACTTTTTATTCGTGGTTTAGATTATGGTTGATCAAAGGACTCATTTTTAGAGACTTCTTCTCTTTCATTACTTCCGCATTTGGAATCTATTTTCGGGTTACTCGCTGACGCACCAGATTCTTTGAAATTCGGGCTGTCACATGTGCTGTGAAATAATCATTGGTTATTGAGATTACAATTGCCACCTTATCTGATTCAGTTTGTAGATTGTCTCATACTTTGTCATCTTATGCAAGGGTAATCTTGTCATTTGCTTTTTCCGATCAACTAATATGCCAGAATATCCTTGACTGCAACAAATTCATAGTTCAAGGAGGTTTTTTGTAGTTCAGGGGGGTTAGTTGCAATATGCTAATAGTTCAGGATTTTTTTTTTTTTTTTTGCATTTAATCTTAAAAGTAATTATTCCAAATATATTTTATTGAGAATAATTATCTTTTTATTTAATCACCTGAGTTGACTAATTAAATAATTTAAGTTTGACTAAGTTTGCTTAACTAAATAATTTAATTAAACATGAGACCCATATTTGATTGGTTAATTTATCAAAATAAAAGTGCATCAAATTATAGTGTCTACAACTCCAACACGGTAAACAAATGGAAGAGAAATTTTACTTAAACAAAAGGAAAGATGAATAATAGAAATGGTAAGAGAAGGATGAGAGACCCACGGAGGAAACACCCAAAAATGGAAAAACCACACAAAAGCGTCATGAACAATAAGTAGCACAGAAGGATAACAGGTTGTAGTTACAATTAGAAGAACAAAAGAAAAGAAAACAGCAAATAAATTAGATGCAGATAACAGGTTCTAGCCCAAACATATGCCCAATTTTTGTATATATTTCTTTTAAAAGTTGCTTTTGGGCTTGATAAAAAAATATGGATTGTATGATTAGATATGTGTAATGTATTGTGGAATCTATTCCCGACTCATTACCTCATTGTAAATTGTAATGGTCATTTTCGAGAAAATGATGACGTTGATTTTGATTAATTATTTGTTTTTCTTAATTTAATAAATGATGCACATATTGTTTACGTACGTTGTGTTCCTCATAAAAGAAAGAAGAGGTGTGAGAGAAAATAAGAAAGAAAGAATCAACTTCTTTTGTTCGGTCGAGATGATACAAAGAATGAAAAGAGAATATGAATGATGACCCACCCTTTTCTTTTACAAATTTTCATCCGTCAAAAAATGAGTGGAAGAAAAGAGGAAAGGCAAGTAAACTATTATAAAAGTTTTAAATTAAATATTATCATAAATTGTACAAGTTTTAAATTACAGTATTATCTTTTATAAATTACAATATTATAAATAGTATTGGATATAATGATAAAAATAATTAAATTTTCTTTCTTTCTTTCTCTTAATGAACATAGTAAATTATGAGCTTAACAAAAAAAAAAATGAAATACACCATCTCTTTCCTAGGATGTCTAATTTATCCCTTCTCCTCTTCCTTAGATCTAATTTTTTTCTTTCCTACCAATTAGAACATAAGAGTCTCATGGTTCTATTTTGTTGTTGGACAACTCGTCTATTATTTACCATATATCTATAATAGCACTCGAATATCCCCTTTTAAGATCCTAACATTAGGTTTAAGTCCTTTGATATTTGAGTTTTTTCTTTTGTTTCTCGAGTTTAATTTACTTCAATAATTTGCAATCCAAACTCGGTAGAATTATAAATGGATGACTCAATTGTAATAACTCGACTCCAACATGAACCTAGCTAGAATTATTTATTATTTTCATTTAGACTCCGTTTGTTTGAGCGTTAAAAAATATTTTCTTGTTTTCTGGTATTTGGTTGTCATAAAATATTTACGAAGAAAAAAAATATTAAAACCTAATAAAAATAATCTATTCATAAATTTTTGACAAATTATTTTTCACGCTCCACTCAATGGACTTGACCTCAACCTTAACCTTAATTTTAACTTAGACCTTTGTCAAACGGTGAGAAATAGAAAAATAAAAAAATGTTTTATTTAAAAAAAATTAATTTTTAAGAAAAATATTTTAGGTAGAAACAAATTGAGCATTAGTTTGTATTTATTATAAAAAAGTTGATTTTTAAAATTTTATTTCTTCCTACAAAATTGGACACATTTTTTTTTTTTTTTTTTCTAGCAAAATGACTAGGCACAAATTTGGTAGATAAGTTTGGACCCACACGCAAAAATAGAATTGACCACAACGAAGCCCAATCCATACACGTCTTCTTAAATTTCATTATATTTGCATTTTGATAAAAGTAATCCATTTCTATTTGATACATTGAAATGACATTCGTATCCTTAATTTATGAATAAATGCTTCCTAGTCTTAGGGATATACTTGTCATTTAAATTAAATAAAAAGACAAAAAGAAAGAGCATTTAACATACGAGAGCGCGTAAATCTCACCTATTTTCAAAATAGTGATATTTCCAATATAAATATATCTTTCACTTTTAGTAAGAGATCTCACGGTTACTCCTCTCACCAATCAAAGAATCTAACGGTCCCCACTTCTCTCTCACTCATTAATATATACTCCGTATTACTATATATATATATATATACACACAGCAACACACATGTATGTATATGTGTATGTATGTATCAGAAGCTTTTTTTTACGTGACTTAAAAGATAAAGAAAAGCCAAACACACTTGCGCTTTCTGAATTTCGCACATTTTTTATGCGCGTCAGAACCGACATATCTGATACTTTCAATAAACAAGCACGAAATGACGATTGTACCCTCCCTTTCTATTTTCTCAACCTGCCTTTAATTTAAACCTGTACTCCATATATCAATAAAAAGAGCAACTTACTAATTAAATTCATGTGATTGACGTAAACCCACTGCAGTGATGTTTTACTTGTCTTGGTCAGAGATAATTTGGCGACAAATGCTACTATGAGGTTTTTAATTGGTTAAAATTTCGTTCAAAAATTTATATGTAGTATATTAAACGAGTTCGTTAAAGTTAATAATATAATTTAGACATAAAAAAAAAGAATATAAAAATATTATTAATGAATTTTTGAATAAAATTTAAACTATATAATCATCGTTTAATCCTCCTTCAAGTAATTTAGTTCGTGCCTCAATATTTGTACATAATCACGACAAAAAGAGATGAACTCGTGAGAAATCTAAGGAGGGAAATCTCATTTATTTAATTTTAATTATAAGACACTGATTTAATACTCTTAAATGGACAATTCCGTATTAATTTTATTTATACAAAACATTAAAAATTAAAAATTATATATATATATATATATATATATATATATATATATATATATATAATCTTTGTTATTATTTTGCATAAATGGTTTGTTCTCAAATTCAAAATTTATTGTCTAATATATATCTTGCCTATGCAAGACATCTGAAAAAAACCAATCGTTCTTTAAAAAAAGAAAAAGAAAAAGGTTGTTCCAAAACTCAATCCTTTATCACCAAGTAATGACTTTTGTAAATCCAACTTTGTACCCTTAATGTGCAAGGGCACTACAGTAAATTGACACTTGAAAGCTCACATTTCCACGTCTACCCTTCCTCGATTCAGCGAATTTTCAACTTGCATCGCCTATATAAACCAACCCCAACTGCAAACTCCAAGCCTCGCAAAAATCTATCTTCTTCAGACATTTTCTCCCTCATTCAAACCACTTAACGTCTCTAAAACTGTAAGTAAGCTTTTTACTTTCATTTTCTCTTTATTTATATTTGCTTTAAGTTGTATCTATATCTATATCCTCTGTTAATTCTTTTTTTCAAGATTAACAGATCTGTATATATATTATATACACAATATATATAGATACATTCTTCTCAATCCATAGGTGGTATACATACACACACACACATATATATATATAATAAATAATTTGAATTTCATCAAAGAATGAATACCAGCAGTTGTATTGGTATCAGCACGATGAAGCCTTGTTGTAGAATCTTGATTGGTTGTAGAAATTCATCCATGTTCGGGTTTCCATTTCCCAAATGTTATCATTCCGTTGTTGATAATTGGTCGAAATCTCCGTCTAAATTAAACAATAATCGTCAATTTCACTGTTGTAACAATAGAATTTTAGGGTTTAGGCGTGTGATTGGTCCGGATCGGGCAGCTTTTTGTGGTTCCGATTCAAATTGGGGTCAGTCTATTGTTTTTACTAGTTGTAGTGCTAATAAACGTAGGTCTGTTTTAGTTAATGTGGCGTCGGATTTTCGGAATCATTCGACGTCCGTTGAAGCTCATATTAATGAGAAGGGCTTCGAGAGGATTTACGTTCAAGGCGGGTTGAATGTGAAGCCTCTGGTGATTGAGAGGATAGAGAGAGGTCCTGATGTAGGGAAAGAAGAAGAAGAAGAAGAAGAAAAAAAGCCCAGGTTAGAAAATAATGGTTCAAATGTTAATATAGATACTTTAAAGGGTTTGAATGGGGTCAAGGTTTTGACCTGTGAGAGAGAGGTGTCTGAAATTGAAAAAGAGGCGTGGAAGTTGCTTCGAGATTCAGTTGTGAATTATTGTGGAAATCCAGTGGGCACCCTTGCAGCTAAAGATCCAGCTGATACGCAACCATTAAACTATGATCAGGTTTTCATTCGTGACTTTATCCCGTCAGCACTCGCATTCTTACTCAATGGAGAAGGGGAGATTGTCAAGAATTTTCTGCTTCACACATTGCAGTTACAGGTAATTTATGATTTTCTTTGGTGCTGTTTGATAAAATTTAAAATTAAGTATGGAATATTTTAAGTACTCAATTTTAAGCGCTGAATATTTTAATCTGTAAACTTGTTTGATATTGTATTAATTTTAAGCATTGAATTCATTGTTAATGCAAAAGCTGAAATCTGAATGTTGTTCTTCTACACATAATATTATTATAAAAGATACTATATTAAAACATAAACACATATATAAAATAATGAATTTCACCAAAGAAATATCAATTTAACAGTGGATATTAATGTCAAAACTGATCATAAAAATTTCAAAATCAACATATAAAATGAATAACTTATGAAAATGAAATATTTATGAGAAGGAGATTAAAATTCACGCACAAATTATTCAATTTTTTTTTATTTATATTGTAGATTTGCATCATAACAATGGTGTGAGGGTTTCATTGTATGAATGTCGATTATAAACCTGAGTAAACTATGCAGTATATATGTACATATATTTATTTATTTATATTTTGTTGAATATTATTTATATTTACATTATTTGAGAAGAAAAGTGCAACGAAACATTTGAGAAATTAAAGTAAACTAAAAGTAAAAATCCATCAGAAGGGAATAGAAATGCAAAGTGGAAATAGAAAGTCCATCAATTCGTTTAATTTTAAGAGTAACATCAATACGTTTAATTTCAAAAGTAGAACAAGTAATGGACAACCTAAAAATATAATATTTGTGGGTAACATTGTCATTGACAAAATATTTTAAAACCTAAAATCACCATTTTATGTGATAAGCATTAGGCAAGGTCATTTTGGCCTGTTTTAAGTTAGTGCCTAATATTTTAAATAGTAACCTAAATGTTATCAAACACACTGAATAGCGATATCAAACAGTCCCTTAGTCTCCTCTCTTTTTCCATTTCAACTTTGATTTTTCTTGTAATGAATATGGTATATTAGATTGTCTTTAACATAGCATGTATATGATTACTAGATTTTTTTTTTTTGTATACCGGCTGGCATTTTGCAAATTATTTGTGCATACAAATGATATATCAAACACCATAAAATGATTGTTCATATCGTTTTATCTTTTCAAAAATAAAAATATGGTGCATCTCATATATATGCAAGGTATACAAATGTTATTGTCAAGGAATAGAACATATCTGCCAAATTCTGCAGCAACAACAACAACAACAACAAAAAAAAAAATCTTTTGACATGGGTTAGGACTCAACAATCAAAAAGAGAAAATAAAGAATCAAAAGAAGAATTTGCAACCTATGCACTAGAAGCTCCACCCTGCAAACATCTATCTATTCCTTCCGTCTCTGATACAATATTTGCAGAAATCTTTCACTCCCCTATTGCAGTAAAAGAGATTTTATTGCTCTTACCACATACTGTGATGATATATCGTGGCATAGTAATGAATCTGTTTTCATAGGGTATGTGGTAAAAATAGCTTGCGCAATGTAGTTTTTGTGTGGGCTTCAGCATTATATAACTTATAGTTTAAACTAAAATCGTTTTCCTATATATTTCCTAGAGTTGGGAGAAGACTGTGGACTGCTACAGCCCTGGGCAAGGGTTGATGCCGGCAAGTTTTAAAGTTAGAACTGTGCCTCTTGATGGAAGTGATGAAGCGTCCGAGGAAGTTTTGGACCCAGATTTTGGTGAATCAGCCATCGGGCGTGTTGCACCTGTTGATTCTGGTTAGATATAACTTTCTGAACTATAAACTCTTTTTGACTAACAGATTTTTGCACATAAATTTACTTGGCAATTTATTCATGTTGTTCCACAAGTGCTGCATATAGACCATCACTCTGTGCTTCTTATCAATTATAAAGTGACATTATTTTGATCTGTTATGTAACAATTGGATAGTGACACAGCAACTGACATCTGACGCACTATTTCTGGTGTTACTTCTTGACAGGGTTGTGGTGGATCATTTTGTTGAGAGCTTATGGAAAGATCACGGGTGACTATGGACTGCAACAGAGGGTGGATGTGCAAACAGGCATAAGTTTGGTTCTCAAATTGTGTTTGACTGATGGGTTTGACATGTTTCCTACACTGTTAGTGACTGATGGTTCCTGTATGATTGATAGACGGATGGGTATCCATGGCCACCCTCTTGAAATCCAAGTAAGTTTCAATATACCAATTGGAGCTCTAGAAATTTTCTTTTGTTTATACGAGATTTCTGCTGGATTTTGTTTTTAATATGTCCCAGTGATTGCAAGTTGAAGTACTTTATATTCAAAGGTTGCCTTTGTTACATGGCATCCCGGGTCACTAATAACTTGGCAGTATGGCTGTTCTTTATTATTTAGTGTTCGCCTGCACAATTGTCTTCATTCTTAGGCTAGCCACCTCGAGAGAATAACTAGTAAGCTTGCATATAGTATATACTTCGTAGTGAATCGATAGGCCTGGCATAAAAATTGGATCAGATGGTTGGTTAGGGGAGTGACAACCGCTTTCTAGTTATGGCCCTTAATTCCTCTGTCATTTGCCATTAGTGAATTAATCAAACACCTTCTAACAGCCAGGTTTGGCTCTTCTTGCTGCTATTGCTGCCACACTGCTTGTCAGCTACTTTGCGCATCTGCTACTGCAGAGGGGTGGACCTAGAAACTTCATTTGGAGGGGCCAAACTGTTTATATAATTTTTTTTTAATAAAAAGTAATATATTTCTTGTTTGATTATTTATGAACATAAGAAAACTATAAATAAGTGATATATTTTTCATTAAGTGCATAAAATGAGAAGAAAAAAAGGTATATTTTTGTTTTCTGATATTTCCCTCCAAATGTTGGCTTCCAAAAGTAATGCTTAAAAGAGTCAAGTTTAAGGTTCTCTATGAACATTGAGGAAACATGTTAATTTAATGTTTTCAAAGCTCACATTTTATCGAAAGACAATATTATTAGAGCACAAAATTTTGGGCAACCACGCATTGTTTAATTATACAAGTTCACTATATATATAGGAAACCCATATTCTCTAGGTCAATATATATAAAATATCTTAGTAGGTGTGCCCTTGACTGCAACTTGAAACTTGAAAGACCAAATACTGAAAACAAAAAATGTAACCTCCAATTATGTGTAACAACATTCTACACACCATGAGAAGATCCTTTCTGGAATTGGAACTTGCAGATGAGTTGTTTCCTTTTTGTTTCTTCAGTATAGTTTATTCCCTATTAAAAGGGGAATTGGTGGGGAATCCTAGGAATATCATTGGAACTCATGTCATATATCAAAAGTAAACAAATGCAACCCTATATGTGAGGCTCAATGTTTTAGTAAGAAATCTTGATGGCAGTAACCCTAGTTTTCTCTTAAGGGAGGTGACACCAAAGCCTTTGTTATTGTTTCTTATGCAATCAAAATTTGGCATTAACTATATTTGTTGGTGACGTCTATGTCATTTCAGGATACTATCGCCAAGATTCACTCATAGTAGGAGATTCTATTTAGTTTGGTAATGAAAATTTCTCAGTTAATTGAAGGGGGTAAAGCACTGTCAAAAGCATACAGTGCTTCGATTATATTATTCACCAATGATTTACTCCTTTAACTTGCACTTCTATTCTCTTTGACACTCTCCCCATTCCTTGGTACCTATGTTTTACTTTAAAATTCAAATGTATATTGCAAACTTTTAGTAAAAATGCACCAAGAATATACTTATTATTATGTTGTGCTGTTGAGATGCCTCTATGGCCTCTGAAACTTAGAATTGCAAAATGCTAAAAGGACAGATGTCTATGAATATAGATAGACATCTACGCCTTAGTGTTTTGGCTAAAGAATATAGAGCAAGTATTTTCAGGAAAAGGGTAAGATTTCTATTATCCCATCACAGATGTCTATGAGCAAATAACTATTTCCATGTATCTTTTCTGAAAATGACTTGACTGACATCTAGGATTTTCAGGACAGACGTCCGTGTCTATGTGATTTTAGAAAAGACAGAAAGAGAGAATTTCCATGAACAGGATAGACAAACGCCTATTGATTATAGATAGGCGTCTATGAATTTACTCTGTATATCCAAACCCTAATTGGAATGACTCACATACGTCTATTGTCTCTAGTATAGAAGTCTATGTCTTCATGTTTTCAGAATATACTGAGAAGACATATTTGGGCTCAAAGTCTCATGGACGTTTATGTCTATGGTACATAGACAGACGTCGATAGTTGGATGAGATTTTCAAAATGAAATATGCAAACACGTCCTCAGAGAGTAAGACAATCATATTTCTCAATGAGGCCTTTTGGGGGAGCATCCAAGAATTGAGGAAACATTTGAAATATTTTGAAAAGTTTAGCTCATTCATTCTCATTATTTGAAAGTTAGAGAAAGCTTTAGATTTCTATTATCTCATTTATATTCTATAGAGAGATCATTGATAGAGTTGTGATATACATTTGATAATCTTTCACATGTATCCATATTCATCTAGAGTTGAGCTTTCTATCTACTGCTTTAGAAAGAGAGCTTTGATTGTATACATTCATCCTTTGAAGAGGATATCTCTTGTACTCAAACTTGCCATATATTTGAGACTGTTGTAAAAGGGTTGGTGTGTAAGTGAAGTGTTCCCTTAGCAAAGGAGAGACAAGCTTGTGAAGCTTTGTAAGGGTTTGCTCTTCACCCATGAAGGAGAGCCTGACATTGGAGGTTTGGAAATCTTGAGAGAGGTGCTCTTGAGTCATGGACGTAGGCACGAGAGGCATTACCATGGAAAATCGCTCGTCCCCCCCACCCCCACTACCCATGAAGGAGAACCTGACAATGGAGGTTTGGAAATCTTGAGAGAGGTGCTCTTGAGTCATGGACGTAGGCACGAGAGGCATTACCACAGAAAATTGCTTGTCCCCCCCCCCCTTTGGGCAAAAAATATTTTTCTCATGATTTATTGCCTACAAGCATGGATAGAATATTAATAACAAAAACACAAATTTAGAGAAAGAGAAAAAAAAATAAAAAAAATATAAAATCGAACTGTTGATAGGATTCTAGCTTTTTTATTTCCATTTTATCGAGATGCAGCTTTCAAAATTTTGCATTGTTATGATCTGTTTGTTTTCTATAATTTTTGCATTATAACATTCTAAAGCTTATAAGAAAGATATTTGTTTGGATTAGTGTTTTGATCGACCATGTAAAGCATACATTTGTGCAAGGCTTTATGATCTTTGGCATCTTGGTGTAGATGAAGAAACAATGTTTTTAATCATTACAAGGGCAAATAACACTCATGTTACTAAAGGTTATTGCACTATCACTTTGTTTGAGTTATTGAAGTCCAGTGCAGTCATTGTAATAAGTTATTTCATGGAAACACTTGGTTATCTGTGAGTATATTTGGACCTTTTTCTGTATGATGGAACCTATAGTTTTGCTGTGGTCATTTTGTTGGCTTGGGTTTTGGCCTGATTTTTATCAGCTCAAATAGTAATAGATTGGATGATGTTATAATCATCCAATAAAGTAATATTAAAGCACTATTAGCTCTACTTTCCAAAATTTTCAAATAACTCAAGTCACAGACTTCAGTGAAGTTTGCATTGCCAACTTTGCAATAGTGATAAGTTATATCACCCCCTTTCTTCTATCTAGGATCATCTGGTTCCAGGAGTTAAAATGCAAAGAGTTTTAGGGATATTTTACTTCATCTCTGTTGAGGACATGCAAGGGAAGTGTCTAGGTTGGAAACCAAGTAGAGATTTTTTTTTTGGTTGTAAATTTGACTCCCATTGATTTCTTGGAAGCGTATTGAGGAATTTAGTGCAAGTCTTTCCTCATGACCCTTTCTGCCAAAAAGTAAAAGAAAAAATAAAAATGAATAAATAAATAGAACACATGCAGAGTTATATATTCTGTTTTCAGTATTCGGCAGGCTTCTGTATTCAATGTTTAACAACCATACTACTGTTTCCTCATGCATCTAATTTCAGTCTTCTCCCCTCATACCTAGTCTATCTTTTGCTCTAACTATTTGATTTACAGGCTTTGTTCTACTCGGCTCTACGTTGCTCCCGTGAGATGCTCATTGTCAATGATGGAACCAAGAATTTAGTGGCAGCCATCAATAACCGACTTAGTGCACTCTCATTTCATATCAGGGAGTACTATTGGGTAGACATGAAGAAAATCAATGAGATATATCGCTACAAAACAGAGGAATACTCCACAGATGCCATCAACAAGTTTAACATCTACCCAGATCAAATTCCTTCTTGGCTAGTGGACTGGATTCCTGAGGAAGGTGGTTATCTCATGGGAAATCTACAACCCGCACACATGGACTTTAGGTTTTTCACTTTAGGAAATCTTTGGGCCATTATATCTTCACTGGGTACTACCAAACAGAATGAGGGAATTTTAAATTTGATTGAAGCAAAATGGGATGATTTTGTGGCTCAGATGCCTCTTAAGATATGTTACCCTGCTTTGGAGTATGAAGAATGGCGTATAATCACCGGCAGTGACCCGAAGAATACGTATGGCCCTTCTAGAATTTTTTGTGAATTTCTTGCCTTTCAATAATTTTTGGAGAGCTTAGCTACTGCATTTCACTGAATATGTCTGCTTACTCGCAGCCCATGGTCATATCATAATGGAGGATCCTGGCCAACTTTGCTTTGGCAGGTACAATAATGTTCTGATTTCGTTTATCTTATAAATCTTTTGTTACAGCTTGTAGGATGACTAGTGAGTCAACAGTTTTGAACTTCTCTCACCTTTGTTGCCATTGGCATCTTCTAATAATTTTTTTCTTTCTTGGGAATTGCAATGGTGTCTGTCTAGAAGCAATTAGTGAGTATGGTTTAGTCATGTCATGACAATGGATTTTTGTCGGATCATAGTGATATGTATTTTTCCAACTCTTAACACCGTTGCTGCTTGATATTTCAGTTCACATTAGCCTGCATTAAGTTGAAGAGGCCAGAACTAGCAAGAAAGGCCATCGCATTGGCCGAGAAGAGGCTTTCAGTGGATCAGTGGCCTGAATATTATGACACGCGAAATGGAAGATTTATAGGGAAGCAATCTCGACTGTATCAAACATGGACAATTGCAGGGTTCCTGACCTCAAAGATGCTGCTGGAAAACCCGGAGATGGCATCCTTCTTGTTCTGGGAAGAGGATTACGAGCTCCTTGAAATTTGTGTCTGTGCGCTTAGCAAAACCGGTCGGAAGAAATGCTCACGTGGTTCTGCCAAGTCACATATTCTGTAGTGTTTACTAGCATAACAATCAGGTAAAAACATTAGAAAAAAAGAATAACATTTTCAGCCTGACACGAGCTGACTTATTTTTATACAAATAACGAACATGGTACTTTCCAAATTCTACACTGATGACCTAATTGTCACCCCCGACATAGTGCTGTGTATTTTCTAACAGCCTACATCAGTGTTAAATTACTTGATATTTGTTAAGGTAGTCACCTGATTTTTGTATTCAGAGGACAGATGTTTTGAAGAACCTCTAATCTATGTTATTGGTTTCTGACTGAACAGTCGCATGTATGTTTATAACTTATAAGAATCATAACAAAATTGTACTTATTCAGACATTTATATGAATTGGTGTAAATGTGTCGAATTTTTCAAAATTCTATGTTGCTTTGAGTTTTTCCTGAGGAGCGATTGTCTGGTGCATTGGTCTACTCTATTCATATGGGATTAAGGCAAAGGGTAATGATGATGATTGTCCTGTTCGTGCGAGGTTTGAGTTTGGAAGAAATTATTTTGTGTAATATAATACCATCGAAAGAGCACTAGGTGGGTGGCCTCATGCTGAGGTTTTTAAGTTTGTTAATTTTGTTTCATGATCATATCTAGACTGGTTAGTGGAGTAAATCTAGCATGCATGAATGAATTTGATTTTAATTATCATTGATAAGATTAAATTGGTAGGTATTTTTTTTTTTTTTTCCTAACAAACTCGGAGAAGGGGAACTCGAACACAAATACACCTCGGGGAGCAAGGTGCTTTATCAATTAGGTCACTGATTAAATTGGTAGTTGAGAAATGTAATTATAGAATAAGGTATTTTAGAAAGAAAAGGTGTTCTTATAGTGATTTTTCCCCAACTGACCTAACACCAACCCACTAATAAGGGTAAAAAGGCAAAACAAGAACAAAAGAAGCAGCCAGCCCTCAAACACAACCAAAATATTGAGTTTCAGTTGGTGGATGAGTCAAATTTGGGGTCTTAAATATTTTAATTATAACACTACAAGGTGGGTCGCTAGCAAAGCTGGAAAAAAATAAAGATGTTTGATTTGTTGGATTTGGGCCCAAAGATCTAGAGTTCTGGCTTATGCAGTATGAACTCTATAATAATGGTACATGGTCCATTTGATCCTGCAAGTTATGTCATGTAGGATGTGCAATGTATGTATTTATACTTGGATGCCATAAGAAAATATTGTGAAAAACCAAAAGGGATTGCGTGTTTGTATATATATATATATATATATATATATATGTATGGTTATTATTAGGATATACAGTCGTGATACAACGTTTGAAAGTTGGACGCATTCGACTGTGAGTACGGATTATGTCATCCTCCATTTACACAAAATAGCTGCAGATATCGTGATAACGTCATCTCCCAATTATGTAAAACAATTGGTTACGCCTGGACGTTATTTCATTTTCTGATGACATATCACTCTTAACTTGTCCTCAAGATTCCATTGGAGTCTAAGGGCTTATTCGCATTTTGTTTTAATCCGAAACAAAACAAGTGTTTTGTTACAGAGTGTTTTGAATAGTAGTCGAAGGCATATTTGGTAACGATCATTTGTTACATGATTTTTGAAAGTAAAAACATGAAAATATATTTAGTAAAAAAGTTATGCACGTTTGAAAAATGTAATGGTTACTTTAAAAATATAATTTAAGAGTTTTTTTTTAAAAAAAATTACTGTTCATGGCTATAGTACCAAACGTTACATTGTGTAAACATATAAAAGCAATAAATTAGTGTTTTGATTTTTAGCCACTATTTACGAAACGTTTAAGCACTGTGCAAAACAAAATAATTTTTATTAAACTTTTTTTTTTTTACTATTCATTATTATAGTGCTGACAAAAATAGAAACACCAAAAACAAGACCCATACCAAACTAGCCCTAAGCAGCGTAAAATTTTGTTACCAAGACATTATTGAGAGAGGACATTGACAAGAGGCAGATGGCCAACTTTTTGAGAGGTCTTGAAAGCAATGATTTTGAGTAAAAGCAAAAGAGGCTAATGAAATGGCCATGTTTGCATGTTACCCAAAGATGGACTATCTCTGCAAACATGGACCCATTGTTGGAGGTCCCTAACACAAATAACTAGCTAAAATAGGGTATGAGGCACATCATGTGAGTGCTTCAGTTCAACCCTTGTGTGTGTTGTTCCTTCTAACACCAATAAGTAGAGAGAGAGAGAGAGAGAGAGAAAAGGGGGGAGGGGTAAATAACTAATTAGTCAAACAAAAGGCAAAGGCATTTATTTAGCTTTCCAATGCAAAGTTGTGGATATCATCATTATGTGCTTGAAGTCATGTCTCTCTCCAATCTCTTTGATACTCAATTGAGTCAATGCCCATAACTAACACCATTAGTCTAAGCAAAATAATTAGCATCAATTTTTCCTTGATCATTAAAGATGCTCATAATACCATGTGTTTAGTCATTTAAGATGATGATAATTGCAGGCCCTACCTGCAAAAATTGAATTTTTAATTTTTAAGAATAAATTTGATCGGAAAGAAAGTCAAGAACAATTAAGAATATATGTATATAAATTAGTGTTCAGCTGCTCAAATTGGTGGTTTGTGTAACAACCAATGCAATTTGATCTTATGGTTAAAATTGAATTCGTGGATGATTTTCTTTACACCACGGGAGCTATTGAACATAGTTGTATACATAATATATAAGCATAATAAAACTTGATGATATATATATATATGTATGTATTTGCTGATATGTTCCCAATGCAGTGTGGGCATCTCTGAACGAACAGTTGTTGTGTAAATTTTAATCAAAAGGACATAAAAATTCATAATCTGAATGATGATTCATCATTTTAGCTTGCAAGGCACCAAGTTCCAATTCCATTCAAAGCTTGAGAGTATATATATATATATATATCAATATATAATTTGCCACAGGCACATGCCACACATGCTTGGTGCACCTGGTCCTCCACCACTTGCCACGTGCCATGAATTTCCAAATTAGCAGTCAATTTTGCTAGGATGTTTGGTGATGGACTCAAACAATTAAATCTATCTATATATATATATATATATATATATAGATATATATATATTACTTTTCAAAAAAAAAAAGTTTAATTAAATTTTCTATAAATATCTTAATTAACATTAGTGTTTTAAATACAAAATGCAAAATGAAAAATGACAATATCATTACATGTCTATATAAAGGTCCATTAAATAGAGGCTTTGCTAATTTACAAAATCATTTAGGTATAATGTCTCATAAAACAACTATCAACATTTGTGTGTGTATATTTTTTAAAGAGTAGTGATAATTTGGGACTGCCATAGCCGTATATGACATAAGTTTATTAGATAGTCTTGTACCATTGATATTTGATGAGTCAATTCAATTCAAATTCTTGGATTGAAAAAAGTAGTCCCACCTGACTGTGTTATTATATTACAAATAAATTTGAACAACAACCTGAATTAAATTGGTGCATCAAATGTCAAATGGTTCAGGATTATCTAATAATTTATTAGCTCAGTGAGGCATCCCACTATTTTTTTTTGTTTTTACTATTTTACCTACTAATTTTACTCTTTTAAATTATATACCTAAAAATTTTTGAGTTTGCCCCGACTGAAAATAGAGAAAAATTCCTTTATTGCCCCTTTCACAACAATTTTTTTTTTTTTTTTTGATGTTAAAAATTGCCACCCACATACTTTTCTTAGTGTGTGTGTGCACACACACACATTTATATTCACACACTAGGAAAAAAAGAGAAAAAGAAAAAAGCAAAAGACATGCATGATTAGGGTTTTGACATTAGGTTACAATTTTCTTTAGAAATTGATTGATGGGTTTGTCCAAGCATATCAATTTGACAATTTCCATAGAAACAATATAAATGCTTTCATCTCATAGTATTTAATTATAATAAAAAACCACACTGATCAGCTTTCCTATATGCTTCTAATTGTCTCATACAGAAACAGTAAACAAGTTTTTCCTAGAAAAAGAAGAATAATAAAATAAAGTGGAATTATACAAGTCTCTCTCTCTGTCTCTCACACACACACACACACACACACACTTGGATTTCCTCTATCTAATCGCATTTATGAGCTGTGGAAAAAAAAAAAACACTTCTCTCCCTAGGGCAATCACCTTTCTACGGACAACTTTTGTGGTACAGATGAGCCTTTTCCTATGAGAGAGTCCAATAATACAGTTTAATATATATATATATATATATATATAAAAGATAGCTGTCACGAGGATAACACTCTCACAGATCTTGCAACAGTATTTATTCTCTTACTCACTCAGCCAACAACACATAAAACAACATATAAAACAACGAAACTGAACCTGTAAGAGCATATTTCTGCCCCATATAGCACCATTTGAAATCGATGGCCTAACAGAAGAAACACACACAAACACAAACACACACACACAAACAAACATTACAACTATACTTCAAAGAACATTAATATTTGATCATAAAGTTTATTACATGAATTAAATAAAAGGTTGGACCAAATTGAATTGAGATCTCCAATGCTTGTATGAACTTGAGAATTAAGGTATCCTAAATGCCCACCTTAATTGTATAAACAACTTAGTAAAACATTGTAATCTAGATGTTCACTAATAATAATTAAGGAGCTCGACCTTCGATAGATTTTTTCTTTATGCGTGACATAATTTATATAAGTGGCATCAAACTTTGAAAACCTACATCAAATTACGCGAAGGGATGTACTTTAAATCTAATCCGAATAGCTCAGGAGGGATAGACAAGGAAGGACAACATGAGTTGGGCGAAAACGAGGACACAAAATAACCAAACCCTAATCAGTAATTTCTGATGTAAGATTTTTAACAAAATAAAAAACGAGAACAGAAAACATAAAATTGGGTCTTACAAGGTCAAGAAAAGGTCTTACAAGGTCAAGAAGACAAGAAATAAAAAAAAAATAAAAGGCAACAAGTCAAAAAATAAAAAGAAAGAAAGAAAGAAAATGAAGAAGAGGTGGTTGAGGAGGAGATAGAAAAGCTCAGGTAGGATAGCACCCCATTAACAAGAACTAGCCACCACTACAGTGGAGCTTCCAATGCCAAATTGAAAGCCGCCGGTGATGTTTGATGGATCAACAACCATTTCTTCTAGCCCATGGCTTCCAATTTTTGAAGGTTTGGACACTCTGCTGGTGGTGGCGGTGGTGGTTGATGGATCCATATAGTTAATGGCTTGAAGGTCATGACCTGCACAAAAATTTAATACTATATGCATGAGATAAATATAAAGAGAATGAAAATGTTAATTAGTTCAAGAAAAAAAAAACCGAACTTATATATATATATATATATATAAATTGGTGATACCCTAAGCCTAAGATTATACTATATATGCACATAAGATAAAAATATAAAGAGAGTGACAAGATGTATTAATTCAAGAAAAAGCAACTTTAATACTTCTAGCTAGTTATCTATATATATATATATATATATATATATATATATATATATATATGCAAATTGTTATACTTAAACAAGTTAAAGATGTTCAAGGGAAAAAGTCGAACTAGTGCTCAATTGGGCAAAATAAGAAAACAGTGTGTCAATTGACTATATATATACATTTATATATATAAATACACACATACACAGAAAATAAAAGTTTGAATATGCCATATTAAGGTTTCATACCTGCTTGTAGAAGTTTCTGTCTATCTGCTTAGAAAGCTTTTCTCTCTCCCCATACAATTTAGAGAGAGAGAGAGAGAGAGAGAGAGGAATGGAAGGAATGAAGAAAGTTGAGGGATTGCTTGGGCTTATATGAAGGGGAGTGGGCTTGCCCTGATGGACCTTGATAGTGACTGGTCCAAGGCCCAAAAAGAATGTAAAAATGAAATCGAACCCTGTGACGTCATCACGTTCAACTGCCCTAAAAAGCTGCCCGTGCTGCCCGGCCGACCCAATCATCGCTCGTTCCCTTTGTTTATTTTTTACGTTGCGGTCCGTACGATGCCTGAGGTCCTAAATGGTCCTTGGATTGTCCAAGTGGCAGTGTCTGGTCCGTTGATGGAAATGGTCCAGTGAGCACGGGCGATTCACGGAGGCGGCATGTGTCTATGACCAATCGCTTCTTCTTCACCCACCCACTTTTATATATATATATATATATATATATATATATATATATATATTTCTTTTTTGGACTTACCTAAAATTTAAATGTTTGTTAATTGAATTTTATATTGTTTAACATTGTGAGCATCAAATATCGGAGAGGTTGCACCTTCTTCTAAGATGCCCTTTTTTAACATTTCTTAAAACACATTTAAGGACAACATAACAAATGCCCCCTCTATACCTTATGAGTTCATTTCTTAGGAGTATTCACACCCACATCTATGCGTCCATAGTCTGTTAAAAACGCTTTTTCTTACCATACATTATCATTCTTGTTTTCTGCCTTAACCATCTCAACCATGAACCCGTCTTGCCTTTCGTATCTGTTGGGGTAGTCAGCCAATCCATTTTGTTAAGGGCGCTGGGAAGAAAAGATAACTCATCTTGATGCTTACCCAAAGCGACTGTCGTAGCTGCTGTTATCGGAAGCGGTTTCGGAACCTTCCCCTTAGAGAATCTATATTCATCATATTAATGACTTCGTATTGCTTGCTTTCTATTCTTTAATTGCGAATAAGATCAAGATGGGCCAATTTCTCGTACTTGCTCAGTGTGCCCCCCTTTCGTCGAGTGCCCCACCCGGTTCACTGGGCTGTTGGCCTACCAAGCACTTGCCCGCTTTGTCTCGCCCCTATCTCGAAAAGTGGAACTTACGGCTCTAGATCGAGATAATGGCCTGTTACAATTGACGTCTTTATCGAACCCTATACGTGTTCATTTCTTGGTTTTTTATTGAGCTAAACAGACGAGGGATGACTCAATGGGAAATACTGAGAAAGAGGTAGAGAAAGTGGCTTAAAGGTCACTACAAGGGGCATAGAAGAGAAATGTTGAGGACAGCGGTGCCCATTCTTCAATGAGTAAGAAGTCTAGAAAAATAAAAACTTCTAATAATTGTGCATTTAGGAAGAACCAAAATGTTATATCTAAACTTGATATTCAGTATTCCAAAGTTTTACTTATAAATGTGAGAAAGTTAGTTTTCGTCACTTAGTTTTCGTCTTTACAAATTTTAGTGTCAAAACAGGTTAATCGATTTGTAATTTAATGTTTAATTTGAAAAACTGAACACAAGTGATGAACTCAACTTTAGTACTCATTAATCAAATTGGAATATCATTTAGATAGGGGGTAGAGCCAGAATTTTATTTCAGAGGGGGCACAATGCACTTGTTAAAATTTTTTTTTAATAAACATGACAAATAGGAAGTATAATTTTTTTAAATCAAAAAGACAAATAAGAAAAAAATAGTTGTAAAATAATATGCTAAATAAATATTGTAAAAAATATAGTTACAAATATAAGAATCAAAATATTAATTAATAATATTTTAATTAAAAACAATCACAAATGTCATCGATAAAAGAAATAAGTTTAAAAAAATAGAAAAATACATAATTATACATAAGTGAAAAAAGATTTTTTTTTGAAAAAGGAAACAAAAATTAGAAAAGGAAAAATATATTGTATACTTGAAGAAGGGATATATATGTAACTTTTTTTTTTTTTTTTCAAAAGGAAATTAGAAGAATTTGAAAATTTGAGAGGGGGCACTATTTAAAATTACCATGTAAGTATATATATATACCAAAAATATGTACCTATATATAGTAAATTGAAGCAAAGTGAGGGGGCACGTGCCCTCTCTGAGCCTTAATTGGCTCCGCCCCTGCATGTAGAGGAGGTTAGTGAGTATGTGAGTACAATTGTTATTTATTTGTTATTTGAATGTTTTCAAGAGTCAAAATATGTTCCTGGAACTTGAGTTGAGTGGCCTTTGAATTAATATTGTTGGCATGAGCTGTATTTCCTAATATATTTATGTAAATTCTCCTAAATTGATTTGGTAATTACTTAAGATAGTTACTGATATATTGTAATTTATGTTTCAGGATTCTTTACTTTAGGAAGTTTTTTCCTATATTTTGTAAATTAGTTTAGAATATATTATTACTATATCGTGTAATATATTCTAATCATGTATAGGTTTATCAAATAGGGTTTAGGTTTCTTTCTCTAACTTGTCACCTGTATAAACCCATGTGTATCTCATATCTCATACATAAATACAATATACAGTATCTCTCTTTTTATATTTAACACAATATTAGAGCAACTCTAAGAAATTTTTTTTTTTTTTTTTCTCTTCTTCTTTGTATTACATATTCCGAATATCGTATTTCAAAATTTATTCCTGTTGTTAGTCTAAATGGCGATTACTTCAGGCGCAACTACCGTACCAACCCCGACTCCGTCACCACAAATCATAGTCCACCAAGACAATTTTGCATTTCCAACTTGAATTATACTGGATGCGATTAATTACTCATTATGGTCTCAACTCATGGAGATGCGGATTGGTGTTCTTAACAAGGCTGGGTATCTCACCAGAGAAGTGAAAAAACCCGTCCTAGAGATCCGAAATTGGAGGCATGGATAACCGAAAATCATCGAGTTAAGAGTTAGCTCATTGACTCGATGATCACATAATTGATGTAGCGATTTATTCGTCTTCCCACGGCTAAAGAAATATGGGAGGCGGTGTCTACAACTTTCTATGATGGCTCAGATGAAACATGTGTTTTTGAATTGAATTAGAGGTCTTTTTCTACCAAGCAGAATGGCTGCCCTCTGCGAACATAATGAATTTGTTGCTATTTTCTAAGAGATTGATCACATGACTATGTCATAAGCAGGAACAGTTGAAGGAGTGGTGCAATTGCACTTGACCATAGTGAGGCTTCAAGTTTATATTTTTCTAAGCAGAATTGACTCTGAGTTTGAACAGGTTTGTGGAGAAATCTTGCGAAAAGATTTAAATCTTGACCTTGAGAGTGCGTATGTATATGTCCGGAGAGAGTATCAGTAGAAGCAGACGATGGGAGGATCTCATCCAATCTTTGAGAGCTCGGTGATGATAGCCAACCAAACTCGACAAGGACCAGCATCGGGCCCTTCGAAAAATCAGAGTAATTAGGTTACTGGAAAATCTGGAGGGCAAATATGTACTCATTGTGGTGAATCGGGCCATTCAAAACAGCAATGCTATAAGATTATTGGCTATCCTGACTGATGGGAATTTATGAAGAAACCTCGGAAGAATATTAGAGGAAAAGCCACGGTGACTTCTACGGAAGAGGAACAGGTGTAACCAATGACAAATATTGTTCACCCAGGTATACTTGGTAAAGCTTCTGTACTCTTTTTTACTTTTAAGTAGTGCTTGGATTATTGATACAGGTGCATCCGATCATATGACTAGGGACTTTGGTTAGTTAAAATCTCTTAACCCTCCTTCTCAGTCAGTTATTTCCATAGCTAATGGTAGTACCTCTCCTATTACTGGGGAATGGTCTGTTACTTTGTCCGATTCTCTCATTTTAGATACTGTTGTTCCATCCCTTGAATATAACATTCTTTCTGTTAGCCAAATACCTCTACCCTTGCGTGCATTGTAACTTTTTGGCCTTCTTTTTATGTTTTTCAGGACATTCTAACACGGAAGATTCTTGGTTATGGTGTTAGACGGGGCAACCTTTATTATTTCGAGTTGATGGAAAAAGGGGGGTCAAAGTTCAGTCAAGCGAATCAAACAAGTAGTGAAGATAAAGCTCGAGCAATCGTATGGTTATGGAACCAAAGACTAGGGCATATTTCTTTTGGTTATCTTAAGAAGTTACCACCGCATTTGTTTTCGTGTTTAAGTGATTTAGACTTTCATTGTGAAATTTGTGAACTAACCAAGAGCCATTGTATTTCTTATTTACCGAGTTTGAATAAAAGTTCAGAACCTTTTGCGGTTATTCACACGGATGTTTGGGGTCCTGAAAAAATTCCTTCACTTTCTAATGCGCGTTATTTTGTTACATTTATTGATGAATGTACTCGAATGACCTGGATATCTCTTCTTCGAAGTAAAAGTGATGTAGATACAACATTTTAGGAATTTCATAATATGGTGACAACTCAATACCAAAGGCAGATTCGCACACTTCAATCTGACAATGGTAAAGAGTTTGTGGATAAGATTTTAGTTGTTTTCTTAGGCCACCATGGAATATGACATTAAACCTCCTGCACCTATACTCCACAACAAAATGGATTAGCAAAGCGAAAGAATAGATAGATTATGGAAATAGTTCAGGCCTCCCTCTTTGGCATGAATATGTCGAAGTTTTATTGGGGGGAGGCAATGAAATCAACTTCCTATTTAATCAACCGAACACCATCTAGTGTGATAGTTCCAAACTCTCCAAAAAGATGCAATTATTGCTTTCCGTTCCTCATCTCCCGAATCTTGAACCACGAGTATTTGGATGCGGTCTATGTTCACGTGCCTAAAGTCCTGCAGAGTAAACTTGATCTATATGCGAAACAATGTGTCTTTATAGGTTACTCGGAGTTTCAGAAGGGATATTGTTGTTATGATCCTCAAACTTGGAAGTTACATGTGACCTTGGATGATTCATTTCGTGAATTAAAACCATACTATTTAGGGGGAGTTTCTGGGTTTTCTCTTTAGGGGGAGAGTCACAGTGAAGAGAATAAAGATAGTGGAAATGAATTATTCGAATTGGAGGAAAATGGCAGATGTTTTGAATTTTTGAGGAAA